ACGCAGTAGAAAAATACAGGAAAGACGAACAGAAACTGACAGAGCAGGGGAGAGACATTCAGAGAAAACTGACACAGATGCAGCTGGAAGAGCTGACAAGAAAGGACAAAAATAAAACACAAGCTCCGGTGATTACTCCAACACCGCCAGAGGAGGGCGCCATGGCACCTGTAGTCCAGGGAGGTCCACAACCGCCGCCTCAACCACAAGGCCAAAGAGCTCCTGCCTTACCAGTAGTGAATGTGTACACACAACAATCCCCTGGACAGTGGCAAAACAAAAATAATGGAAACAGACCCAGGAATCAAGGACACCGACCACAACAGCAGACAAATCTTCCTCATCACTTGCATCCTCCCGCTGACTTTGCCCATCATAATCTTGTTCATCTATCCTATCATTTTCCAGTTTTGTTAACATGCCCCTCAGTCCCTCATAACAGTCTATATCTAAGTGAGATCTTCTTTCTCTTCTTTCTCCTCTTGTGGGAGTTCCCATAGGGGTAAATCTGAATATGCAAATAGACTAACCATTCTTAGTGGAGATAACATGTGACCCTGACCCCATGACGTTCTCTGTATTACACAACCACACAGGCCCACCGTCGTGTGCTAGGCCAGATAATACCAGGTTTGGAGGGTGGATCATGCAACTGTGTCTGACCGTTGTTTTAGTCATTGTATTGATTTTGCTGCTCATCCTCATGTTGAGGTTTTGCTGCAATATGTGTTTAAAACTGGTAACAAATGTAATGTTAAATGTTGCCATGACCCAGGGCCAGAATGTAGGTTGCGAAGGATTAATTGAGCTACCCTTTACTGCTGAAGACTGTGATGTTTGAAAATATAACCTTAATGCAAGGATGATAGTCACTACATATCCTATATTCATATATTGGTCACTATATACATTTGCAGTGTTTGTGTGTAATGATGTGGGACCTATAAAAGTCCCAAAGGGGGAATATATTGGAGATTTTTAGTTAACTACTCTGTCTCACTTAAGGGAAGACAACATAACAAACCAATTATATGAATTATGCATGTTGTAGAATGAAACGCCTATATGCCCTATATGCCTACGGATTAAGAACCAATTAAAGGGTGAAAACAGAGCCATGATGAAATGTCTCTATAGGTATTTTCCATTACATATATTATAATATGCTTAACAATAGTAGGGACATTTCTTTAGTGCAAATACTGTGCTTCTGAGAAAGGATGGTTCCCTCTAGCTCCCTGCAGCTGGTCTGGGTGTGTAGTCAAGGACATGGGATGGAGATAAACTTCAGGAACAGATAGACCTGTATTCTTTCCTTTTCTCGTTGTTCTGAGTAACCTGGTCACACGGTCAAGACAAAGAGCCTCAGAGTGACCACAGTTTTTCAGTTCATCCTGTCTTTTACTATATTCCAAGGGTGCTGCTGTGTGAAGATATGAGTAGTAACAGAACTAACGTTATTACTTGTTTGTGCGCTATGACCCATACACATAGCCACAAGAAGAAACCATAGTGGCTCAAGGTCAAGGGAGGGTGGCTGTTTGGATAAAGAGGGGGTTCCGATATTATATGAAAAGGAGAAAAAGCAGACATGGAAATAGACAGGAAAGAAGCTAGACAAAGAAACCATAGTGGCTCAGATATGATATGAAAATATTAAGCTGTATAAACGGGGACGGCAGTTGCTCTGCAGACCAGCTCGGCTCTATTGATTGTGTAATAAAGTCTATCTTGATTCTACAAAAACTCTGAAAGTACTTTGTTTGATCATTTTCTACAACATGCTGATCTAGGGGTAACTTCTACTTCAGCGACGGCCGACCCTCCTCCCAGACAACTACTGGTTATGCAAGCTTTTGCTCTTACACACACCTGATTCTACTCATCAGCTGATCATCAGAACCTTGATTACCTAAATCAGGTGTGCTAGAGCTGGGCTGGATCAATAGCCTGCATACCCAGTAGCTCTTCACGGGGGATGGGCATCCCTGATCTACTTCAATCATTCACAATTGCACTCCTGCATGGTCATAGCATAGCCATAATGTCTAGAGTTAGCGCAGTGCTAGCTAATAGCAGTAATACATACGAGTTGTGCCGAATTAAATAAACTACTAAACTATGAAGATAAAAGCCAGTTTGAAGAGGAATAAGGGAACACAGGGGTTCCATTATGACAAAAGGTGCAGACAATCATTCAGAAAGGACAAACTCCACACAGCCTCACTGTCATATTAATAATATCAATACATGATACAGTACAACACCTGTGGATACATTTGCAGAGTATTTTGCACATTCTTATTCCCCGAGTGCAGGTCCATGCAGTGAAGGGCTGAATCCGAACCACAGTTATGTTGCCCATCACGCAAAACTTTATGCAAATCTCTAATTGATATCAATGCATTATTTATGTGGCAAGTTCTAGTAATGCGTATCATATTTCAAGTATCTCGATGTAGGACCATTGACCATATCTGCCATCAAATGATTGGATGAGCTACTGTTCCATAAAAGTTATTCTGACCAAATCAACTCTCAATTTCACCACAAATTGTTAACACCAACACACTGAAAGACCACAATCCCTTTCTTTCTCTGCAGGTCTGTGTGACATTAATTGGAAGGACCTTTAGGCTCTATACTGAACAAATTAATAAACGCAACATGCAACAATTTCAACATATAAGGAAATTAGTCAATTGAAATAAATAAATTAGGCCCTAATCTATGGATTTCACAAGACTGGGCAGGGGTGCAGCCATGATTGGGCCTGGGAGGGCATAGGCCCACCCACTTTGGAGCCAAGCTCACCTAATGGGGAGCCAGGCCCAGCCAATCAGAATGAGTTTTTCCCCACAAAAGGGTTTTATTACATACAGAAATAATCCCCAGTTTCATCATCTGTCCGCGTGGCTGGTCTCAGATGATCCCGCAGGTGAAGAAGCCGAATGTGGAGGTCCTGGGCTGGCGTGGTTACACGTGGTCTGCGGTTGTGAGGCCAGTTGGACGTACTGCCAAATTCTCTAAAACGACATTGGAGGCAACTTATGGTAGAGAAACGAACATTAAATTATCTGGCAACAGCTCTGGTGGACATTCCTGCAGTCAGCATGCCAATTGCGCACACCCTCAACTTGAGACATTTGTGGTATTGTGTTGTGTGACAAAACTGCACATTTTAGTGGCCTTTTATTGACCCTAACAAGGTGCACCTGCGTAATGATCATGCTGTTTAATCAGCTTCTTGATATGCCACACCTGTCAGGTGGGTGGAGAAACGCTCACTAACAGGGATGTAAACAAATTCGTGCACCAAATGAGAGAAATAAGCATTTTGTGTGTATGGAACATTTCTGGGATCTTTTATTTCAGCTCATGAAACCAACACTTTACATGTTGCATTTATATTTTTGTTCAGTATAGTTCATGTTACCCAACTCCACACCAAACTCTAACCCCACACGTCGACCGCTTGTTGATCTGAAAGGTAGGCCATTAGCAATATAGTTCTGCCTTTCACTATATTGCTTGTACCAACAAGTGTTTAGGGGTAGGAGTTAGTGTTTGGTTTGGTATTGGGCATGTGAGTGAGGGTATATACACAGGAGTCTACATTAATCTAAGTATGTGTCCTAATTCTCTCCCCCACCTTCCTAATCTCCTTACCTCCATGATCACTGATCTAAAAGGACCCAAAAAAGGTAACAGCATAAGCAGTAATATGGTGAATTCCTTTCACGCATCTGTCAACATGAAGGAAGGGAGCCAAAGGAAGGAACAAGGCAGGGGAATAGCTTAAATCTCTTATAGTAGAGTCAGTGGGGCTGGGGCAGAAGAGGCATTCCACAGAGAGCAGAGGTAACAAAGCACCTTTTTACAGACCTGGCTGTAAATTAATTTGCAAAACAATCCTTAAACCAAGTAGAACAATAAACTAAGGATGGAAAGGAGTGTCCCTGGTCTCATAGTCCTCTCTACCCTCCATTGAATTAATCACAGGTCTGAGTGGGTTGGATTGGTCAAAGCAGAAGGGTGGACATCTTGGTTTTGCTTATACACACACACCCCTACAGATCAGTGATTGGAAGGAGAGGAAGATGCACTATGAAGCCCATTCTATTCCATTCAGAAAGGGTGAATGGTCAGCCACTGACTAATCAGTGAAGTCAGGAGAAGTAATGCAATTTGGTTGGAGGGGTGGGGAGGGGTTCATAAAGGTAACCCCCTAACTCAGGGTTTCCCAAACCCGGTCCAAATAATCAAAGCTTGATGAGTTGGTTATTTGAATCAGCTGTGTAGCGCTAGGGCAAAGAGGAAAATAGGTTTTCCTCAAGGCTAAGGCAACACCAAATGCACACTCTCTCACACACACACACACACAAGCATGAAACATATACAGTACACATTCTGCATGTTTATGTAGTAAACATTCCAGGAACCTTCTCGGTCACATAGTTGTGTTAACATATGTAAGCAGGATAGGTACTAGGCATTTCATCATCAAATAGGGGCCATATTTCAAGTTATTTGAGAACCACATTTAAAAAATAAAATGTAACACTTTCTTGTGCAATCCTTTAAGAGTTCGCAAATCCTGCATTTTCATGCTGTTTGAAATAAATTATTTTACACTTCTCTTTAGACATTTCTCTAGTTTAGATTTAACAGTGGGTATGGATCATTTCCAATAGCTGTCAAAGTCAAGTATTTTCTATTTTAAATGTGTAAATCAAGGGTAGTAGTATAACAGCATTAACACAATATATACACAGTATATTCCAATAGAAAAGCTAATTGTTCACAGATAGGTGGTTGTGTTGATTATCAGGATTTAGGTGCTCCTACAGACTCTCCTGTGTTTCAGGAGTGAACTCTCTCGCTATCTTACAATTACAGCGTTGGGCCAGAAACCGAAAGGGCGCTAGTTTGAATTCCCGAGCTGACTAGGGCACATCGACAGAGGCACTTAACCCTAATTGCTCCTGTAAGTCGCTCTGGATAAGAGTGTCTGCTAAATGACATAGGGCCACTCAGTCATATGGTCACACTTCACAATAAATTGCACAGATACCACGTGTGCTACATTTTCTGTTGTAATTAAATGCAACTACCATGGTAACTAGCTGGACATAATTTGCCCAATTTCCTTTACACATCAATCATTGTTTATATACCTTATCGGCAAAGACCATTTAGAGCTAAACATTTACATTCTGGTTACCAGAGTAGTTAGAGAGTAACTTCATGGTATGAAGGCAAGTTAATGTAAAGAGTTGCCCAGTCTTAAATTTAAATATTCAACAAACAAAATAATAGGAGGGCAAAAGTTCATAGAACTCTTTAGTTGAGCGAGCTTGAGGGCGTGGCATAAACAACGTACAGAGCAGCTGTACTTTGTCTGCCAGACACGGAGAACAATTTACAGGGTATTTACAAATATACACGAGGGGGAGGAAGTGGTGGTGGTCTACGTTAGTCTGATCCAGATCTGGAGGTGATTCGGCCAACTCTAAGAGACAAAACACACCTTGACGATGAATGGTTCAAAGCAGCGGGTGGCCGTCCCATCGCCTCTGAACCAAAATATTGGACGTTATTTTCTGTGTATTTCCTGACAATTCTACATGTTGAATCGCCACCGTTCGTCGACAGCCAGCAGGTGACCGTTAAAACACCGCAGCCACATCCTGCTTTCGCCTTTGCGGTGTGTCTCGTCAAGAGGATTGAGCTTCAGCACCCAGGCTAGGTCTAAATACAACCCGAATCAGAGACCAGGCTAGGTCTAAATACAATCAGAATCTGAGACCAGGTTAGGTCTAAATACAACCCGAATCTGAGACCAGGCTAGGTCTAAATACAACCTGAAGTGAAACAAACTAAAGTTACACCAAAACCAACCAACCAGAACACTGGGCCAAATGGTACGTTTTGAGAGGCTGTGTCTACTCTTCAAGGACATAATAATATTTGTTACATCACTGGGTAACTGTGATCCCTAAAACGAAAGGTAATCCCAGTCAAGGGACTTTTCAGAGTTTACGTAACAGTGTCCTGAGATTGAGTGTGAAACCAAAATGGATGGAGTGCATAACATGTAGACCAAATAGATGCAGGTGAGAAGAACCAGAGACTGATCAGACAGAGCAGAGGGGGGTGTCCCGTTTTAAACACCTGCCAGTGGCCGCACTCCAGGTGTAGCCAGAGAAGAGAGGGGTCTGATCCAGAGCAAAGTGTCATTTTAGCCAAGCGTTGTCTGGTCTGATGACATTATCATCTCATGTGATGATCTTATGACCTTTCCATCACACAGCGAGCCCCATTGGCTAGACAGGGAGGACGGGGGACTTGGGGACAGACTCACGCCCCCCGGTCTTGGGGATAAGGAGGAGAATGAGAAGGTGTTAAGGAGGGCAGAGGGGTGGCTGGGTTGACTGATCCCTCTTGGTGTAGATTAGCTTGATTGATAGCCCCCACCCAACCCTAAGGACACTGGGTTGGGGTACAGTCAAGCCCTTTCAGTCCTCCTCACACTCCGTTGGCACTTATCTTGCTCTTCTGGGACGCCTCTGCTGCTTTAGCCTGGGGGAGAGGTCAGAGGGCAAAGGTTAATCTACAAACAAATGATGGAAAAGAAACGGATGGCACTAATTGAATAAATGGTGATTTTCAGACGTGGACATGAACAATAATTGAATAAAACCTGTTGTTATGGGCATACAGTAATTTAACTACTCATAAATCCTATATGGTTAATGAATGTGACAAATGGTGGATCGATGGTTAAATAGCTATGATTTCATGTGACTGGTTTGTTTATTTGTTTGTCTTTTAGCCCACAATGGTGCTAATCTTCCAAGAGTCCATGGTTGGTTGGCAGGGCAGTTGTTTGTTGTGGTGTGTGCGATTAGGATGTGGTGAGAGAGAAAGGGAGACGGAATTGGGGTTAATGTAATTACCACTAACACTAACCTTTAACCATCTCTAACCATAAATCAAGACCAAAAAACTAATTTCATTGTTCACAAGTTATGAAGATGTTAAGTGAAGTTGTGAACAGTCATTTACTTGCCAGCAGCCTGGCCATCTACACTGCATTCGGAAAGTATTCAGACCCCTTCTTTTTTTTCCCCACATTTTGTTACGATACAGCATTATTCTAAAATGGATTAAATAAACAATTTTCCTCAATCTACACACAATACCCCATAATGACAACGCGAAAACAGTTTTTAAAAAATGTTTGCACATTTATTACAAATAAAAAACAAATACCTTATTTACATAAGTATTCAGACCATTTGCTATGAGACTCGAAATTGAGCTCAGGTGCATCCCGTTTCCATTGATCATTCTTGAGATGTTTCTACAACTTGATTGGAGTCCACCTGTGGTAAATTCAATTGATTGGACATGATTTGGAAAGGCACACACCTGTCTATATAAGGTCCCACAGTTGACAGAGCATGTCAGAGCAAAAACCAAGCCATGAGGTTGAAGGAATTGTCCGTAGAGCTCCGAGACAGGATTGTGTCGAGACACAGATGTGGTGAAGAGTACCAAAACATTTCTGCAGCATTGAAGGTCCCCAAGAACACAGTGGCCTCCATCATTCTTAAATGGAAGAAGTTTGGAACCACCAAGAATCTTCCTAGAGCTGGCTGCCCGGCCAAACGGAGCAATCGGGGGGGAGAAGGGCTTTGGTCAGGGAGGTGACCAAGAACCCGATGGTCACTGACAGAGCTCCGGACCTCAGACTGGGGCAAAGGTTCACCTTCCAACAGGACAACGACCCTAAGCACAAAGCCAAGACAACGCAGGAGTGGCTTCGGGACAAGTCTCAATGTCCTTGAGTTGCCCAGCCAGAGCCCGGACTTGAACCCGATCGAACATCTCTGGAGAGACCTGAAAATAGCTGTGCAGTGACGCTCCCCATCCAACCTGACAGGGCTTGAGAGGATCTGCGGAGAAGAATGGGAGATACTCCCCAAATACAAGTGTGCCAAGCTTGTAGCATCATACTCAAGAAGACTCAAGGCTGTAATAGCTGCTTCAACAAAGTACTGAGTAAAGGGTCTAAATACTTATGTAAATGCATTTTTTCTGTTTTTTATTTTTAATACATTTGCAAACAATTCTAAAATCCTGTTTTTGCTTTGTCATTATGGGGTATTGTGTGTAGATTGATGACAGAAAAAAAACAATTTAATCCATTTTAGAACAAGGCTGTAACGTATCAGAATGTAGAAAAAGTCAAGGGGTCTGAATACTTTCCGAATGCACTGTATTTACTACGGCTACGCTGTCATTTCTAGCATGGCCATCTAGTCACTACAATGATGCTCCCTGTGGGTATCACATGACTGCGGGTCAAAGATGACTGACCTGAATAACCTGGGCAGGGGTGGGAGGTTTGTCTGAGACGATGGCAGCCTGGTCTCTAACCTCTTCCGCCTGGAGGAACAGAAACACACACTTTCTCTAACACCACCACAGGTCATCCTGGAGAAAATACTGGACCGGTCTGTCTTTGACCAAAACCGGTTTATCTACTCTACTGAGCATTCTGTGACCAGGTCGTGTGTGTCTGTGTACTGACCAGCCTGTCTTTGATGACCAGAGCTGGGTCCACTAGTAAGTCTGAGGAGGAGGCTGTTGTTCCCTGTGGGGTCTCAGCTGGAGGAGCGGCCTTCTGCAACACAATGTTACATTATCAACATATATACTTAGACCATTCTCTTATGACCTCTCTGTTTAACAAAACACACAATGACCTGCCTGAAAACAAAACGCACACAAATGGAATAATAAAGCCAGTTATGTAAGCAGTGGTGATGCCTTCCACAGAGTGTCCTGAGACTGATATGGTGTTAGAGCCTTAGAGAGAGTTGGCAGCAGGAACATAATTCAGATGGCTAACCTGCATTTCTATAGCACTACGCACAAGAGTTGGAGAGTAAACCAGGTCTCCATGGTCTGATGTTCAAGGCTTAGTTCTGAGGGAAACCTGTGCTTCTGCGGGAATCACTGGAGACAGAAGCCCTTGACCACAGACCTAGAATCAGATCATCCTTCCCCAATACGAACTGATGTGGTTGGGGGGTGTCTTACCTCTGGTTTGGGTACAGGGGGTATGATGTCTTACCTTTACTTTGGGTACAGGTAGGGCTGTGGCGGTCATTACATTTTGTCAGCCGGTGATTGTCAAACAAATAACTGCCGGTCTCACGGTAATTGAGCATCTCCTGGCTTCCACGCATAACCTACAAGCCACTGATGCAGAGCTTTGGAACATCTACATTTTAAAAAGTCCAATAAATCCATGTAATATAGCCTACACCATCACAACAAATCCATTATTTATTTTAGACAGGTCTAAAGAAACATGATATAAATGATATTTTTTAAAACCATTTTCAAAAGTGACCGCAAATGCGATTATGCATGTAATGCTTGTATTACACTGAACAAAAATGTTCCATTTGCACAAAAAGCTTATTTCTTTCAATTTGGCTACGCCCCTGCCCAGTCATGTGAAATCCATAGATTAGGGCCTAATGAATTTATTTTAATTGACTGTTTTCCTTATATGAACTGTAACTCAGCAAAATCTTGGAAATTGTTGCAAGTTGCGTTTATATTTTTGTTCAGTATATAAAAGGTGCATTTTTATGGTGAAAATGATCTTCCCCAAACTTGAAACTCACACACTGCTTATGTATGATTTGATTTGATTTTAGTCATTTAGCAGATGCTCTTATCCAGAGCGACTTACAGTTAGTGAGTGCATACATTTTTCATACTGGCCCCCCGTGGGAAACGAACCCACAACCCTGGCATTCCAAGCGCCATGCTCTACAAACTGAGCTACAGGGCACTACCATGACTAAACAGTCACGTGGAATTTGACTTCCGTCATGACTCGTGAACGCCGGTGTGGCAGTAATGCGGTCAGCGTAACAGCCCTAGGTACAGGGGGTACGATGTCTTACCTCTAGTTTGGGTACAGGGGGTACGATGTCTTACCTCTAGTTTGGGTACAGAGGGTATGATAGGTATAATGGGTTTGATGTCAGTCAAGTACATAGCTCTGGAGAGCAGCAGCAGAGAAGGAGGAACGTTCTCCTTCAAGTGCAGGTCCAACCACTGGAGAGAGAGGTTACAGGTCAGAGGTCACTGAAGAAGCGAATCCTTTTTCGTCCCTAATGGCACAAAAGGGTGCCATTTGGGACGCTCCCTTATAATACAATAAATAGATTGAATCCTTTAGTGGCTTGACATTATGCATCTTTAACAAGGTGGGCTATATGTTTTGAATTTCAATATATTCTAAGGCTGCATGATGCGACTAATGATGATTTGTTCACAAGTTGAGTGTCAGACCTGTTGCATCTGCTGGCGTAGCTGGTCAGTGGTCAGACCCAGTGACCTCATCCCTCTGCTACGACACACTGCCTGCAGCTCTGACACACTCATAGCAGGCACACCCTCAGTGGCTATCACCTCGTCGTCTGCTTTGATGGTTCTCAGCTGCCTCATCAGCTGGAAGCGGAGCAGGTTGTTGGTTCCTATGGGCTGCAGCTCCAGCAGCTTACACAGGGCCACCAGCTGGGGGCGCTCTAGATGCTCCAGCGTCAATTCATCTTCAAACAGCTTGGAGAACTTGACGATGTCCTTAGTGGTAGGCTGCTCCCCTGTGTGACGCACCTGGAGATGACACAGGGAGGACAGGGGTTAGTTACAGCAGTCTGGGGACTTGTCATGCAGACCAGACAGGCTTGGGAGGGACACGTGCACGTGAACATTATCACATCTTGAACGTTTTCAGGTCTGTATGACAAACAATGGGATGAAAACTTGAAAACACTCATGACATTATGAATCAGAGGTGTGGATGCATGCTTTGCCCCCTGGCTAAATTACCTTCTGTACATAGGTGGAGAAGCGCTGCGTCTCATCCTCTGTCAGAGCCTTGGTCTTGTTCCTCTTGGCCATCTCTGCTATGGTCTCCTGGAGGAATTTAGCCAGCTCCAGCTTAGCAGCCAGACCCTTCTTCTGCTTCTCTTCCTAAAGAGAGAAAAAGGAGGGGAAAGAGAGAGGGAGAAGTTATTTCTCAAATGGTCCTCATGCATAGGCTAGCATTAGCTACTTGCGATTCGTTTTAGAAATAGAGTAGGTTCGAAAAAAGGAGCCTCAATCGTATTCTATGAAGTTGCTAGGTAATGTTTAAGAGGGTCTATTTGAAAACAAACTTTCAAAGTGCTCCAGTTGGCTAATGGTGGTCACTACCACTGCTTCCTGTAGGTATCCCAATGGCCATGACGTGAGAGGCCACGCCAGGCACCTCTGTTGTACAGGAGCACGAGGACATATGAGAGTCATTCAGCCATGAGTGATCTACAGCTAGCCAGGGCCCGGTTTCCCAAAAGCATCTTAAGGCGAAGTTCATCATTACAACCTTCGTAGGAGCATCGCTAAAATCTCAGAGCAGTTTCCCAAAACCATTGTTATTAACGTTGCGCTTGAAAACGCTCGTAATCTAACACCTGCCTTTTGTAGAACAGCTTATTGCATCGTTAATGTTTTATTGCCCTCCCGCGTCACTTTATACACAGAAGATCTCCGCTAAACATAGAATCACATGGTTTATTTTCTCTGACCGCAGATAACTTCAGAACAAAGTTGACTACAAATAAAGTTGCCAATGTCTTTGCAATTGATAAAAACAAGTAACATATAAAAATAAATTAGACCCTGGTCTCAATTGTGACCCACCCTGGTCACCCAAAAAGTAATACAAATATATTTGCAGCCGTAGGTGGTAATATCGCTCTAGGAGCCGATCCGTCGTCAGTATTGTGAAATAGTTATAAGGCAAGATTTGAATTGAGAAAGCTGATCCGAGAGAAGCGCTGCCTTTTTTCCCGATCCTATCAGTGTCGGCACTTGCGCCAACGACGCACTTAGACTTCTCTCTGCGTGGTTTTGGGAAACGCATATTACATCGTCAGCTGTTGTAGGAAAGATGCATCGTTAAAAAACACCCGTAAGCCTAAATTCCATCACTATCGGGAAATCGGGCCCAGGCCTATTGGGGCTAATCCCACACAAAGACCTGGGGTGTCCCAATAACTTCTTTCTTCCTGAAGTCTGCACCTGTTCACTACTCCCCACAAATGTAAAAACATTGGATTGGTGGGGGATTGGGCTAGAGAGTTTCTTATAGTAGTAATTTCCTGTAAAATCTATGAAGGGAGGTGAACAAGTGCGCACTTAGGGAGAAAATAGATTGGGACACACCTCTGCTCCTTCTACTGGCCTACAGGTCTAAGGAAAGATATCCACTAGTGGGGTGCATCTCAATAGTGTGCTTGTCTCCTTTCCTTTATCTGCATTGATAAGGAAGAACAGAAAAACAGACACCTAGCATATCATGACTAGATCAGTGCAGATGAATGAGAGGAGACAAGGAAGCAAGTTTAGACCACTGAGATGCAGTCCGTCATCAACAAGTCAGGGACATTAACATTGCAACAGTGTGAAGAACGTGCCTTCTTGGTCTCGGTCTCGAAAGTGGAGGGCAGCATCTCAGGGAAGAGCTTGAGGAAGACAGGAAGCAGGAACTCCATGAAGGGAACGATGATGAAGACCATGAAGGGCAGCAGGCGGAACAGGTCAGCACATGTCCTCATCAGCTGGAGAGAAAACAGACGGTTCGCAAAGCAAACAGTAACAGGTCTCACACAACGATAAGTAACAACATCAAAGGAGGAGAGGAGAATAAAAGGGATCAGAGTAGCCAAACATTGTCATATGACTTATGTAGGCTATGGTTGATTGGTATTATAGAAAGATGCAGTGATGCAATGTGAGTTTTGCCCCGTCATTGCACCAACACCCATAGAAATAGAATGCCCAGAGTGGATCCCAAACATTTTGAAATGTGACCGACAAAACAATGTTTTCTTAAAAATGTTCTCTTTGATTGACCTTTTGACCCACCAAGTCAACAAAACCAATGTCTGTGGCCACGTCTTAGGTGAAACTCCCAACTGATTCTGGTTCATTTTATGCACACAACTCCATCTGGTTCACGGGACCTTGTTCATTTTATGAGCAGGTCCAAAGCCTGGCACAATACCTCAGATAACCCTTCATGGGTTGTAGACTGCAACCCGTTACACTATACCTCAGCTACCTTTCATGGACAGTAGACTAACATTACACTATATATCTCAGCTAACCGTTAAGGGCAATAGACTGTAAAAAGGCTCAAGATTCAAGGAATTTTGCTCATTGTTATGAGCAAGGGTGAAGGACGTGAAGTGAAGCCCGTATTTCTGATAGTTTAGTTCCTTTTATGAGCTGAATAGGGGTGAAGGACATTAGGTGAAGCCTCATATGATGAAAGTTCTATTCATTCTATGAACTGAACGGAGTGAAGGACATAAGTGAAACTCCATCTGAAACACTGTGCTGGTTATTTCACATAAGCAGGATAGTGAAACTGTACGTATGATAAAGGATAAAGTTTGTCGGATCAGAATAATGAAGAAAGTGTCAGCCTATTTGCAACACACTTTCTTGTTTCGTGTGTTGCACTTGCATTCAGTAGTCTATGAATCACATAATTATGAAGGCATAAATGCATGAAAGTGTGTATTCTTATTTAAAATGTATGTAGTTCTGTCCTTGTAATGCACTCGTCTATTAATGTTTTGTATTATGTCATGTTTTATGTGGAGCCCAGGGAAAGTAGCTGCTGCTTTAGCAGTAGCTTATGGGGATCCTAATAAAATACTAATATGGTCAGGGGTAAAAGTAGGTTTAATTTGTTACCGGTACTGTGCGCGCAATTTTTTTTATGAATCATAGAATAACATATAGAATCCTTCCTAATTTAGTATGATCTCTGTGGGCCTAGTAAAGATTTGTCGTAACTTTTATCATGTATTACCTTTTTATGTGGCATAAACACAACCAGTCATGACGTTTTCATCTGATTGTCAAACAATCACTTCAAAAGGCACTCCTGTTGGCTACCTGCGTTTGTCCACTCATAAATAATTCCAGCATCCAAACAGTGCACACGCAATTAGATGAATGGAAAGAGACAGCTGTTACAAAAAAACTTTTAAAAAGTGTAATGACATTGCCGATTATCATTAGGCACACAACACTAAAAGCCTGAATTGCTGCGTCCACTGCTGTATGGGCGTCTCGTCTGGACCACTTATCAAATCGCAACAGGAGGGTATATTGCCCGTTTTCAAGTAAATTCACTCATTTTCATGCAGCTGACCTGCGGTAATGTTAAATAACGGTGTAATTGCCTATAGTTTTCTTAATTATTGTGATAGACTCATGTTTTACCGATATAGCGTACCCCCACTATTTAGTTTGCTGGGACGCCATACCGGATCGGCTTACTTTCACTCCTGGTCTTAAGCCACAATACAAGAAGGAATCCCCCTTGACCCACCATGGGCAACACTATGTTAGGATTCTGTCCCTCCGTCTCTGGCAGACTACTAGCACTGCCAGTCCCTTTCTAAAATAGACCCGGTGCTGAGTAAAGCTCTACCATGGCATTCACATAGCAAGGGTCACACGGCAGTGTGTTTGGATGTGTGCATGTGTTATTGTGCCCATCTTGTATCAGAGGCAATAGGCTAGATGCATCCTTTCAATCAGCCTTACTGATAAATATGGAGCCTGAAGTCAACTGAGGGTGTGTGTGTGTTTGTGTGACGTACTGTATCTACATGCTTGCGACCCTACGTGTACTGTGTTTCATTAATCAATCCACCTTATTTGCTGATAACACTGTAGCCTAAAGTGGCCTGTGTTTAACCAGGCAGCTTGTTAGAGAGACAGTTGGGTATACCATCCACATGAATGTCCTTTTTTCAGATAGCAGATTAACCACAACACTGGCACTGTGGCAGGCAGCGTTCTGAAATGTTTATAATCTAAGGGTCACAATGGGTGACTCAGACCTGAGATTAACTCAGTTTTGTTCTTAAACTGAGGGTTAAACTAGAATACCTCATGACATGTGGTTTTACTCCTTAGGTTGTGTTCAATAGGCACAACAAGAGAAAACATCAAAGCAAAAATTAGCAACATTGTTATTGGTTCAACAAGTTCAAAAGGTAGCAACTTGTTGTTTTCAAAACACTCAGAGGTCCCTGGTACTCCTTACTACACATCAGAGAGTATTCCTATAAATCCTGCCCTCCCCCCTGTTATTTACTCCTTAAGGAACAGGTTAAACACAGACAGGGCTCAGCCTACACTTCCTGCATGGCCACTTCAATAGTCACAACAATGACAGTCTGACTGACTATGCACTGTCTGCAGACACAGACATCAGCCATACTGGCTGCCCTGAGGGCAATGTGCATGACACAGTTTAGAGTCAATACAAAACAGTCACATACAGGTCAAATACAGCTCAGCACCTTCAATCAATGTTTACATGCGTGTGCAGCAGGCTGATCATCATCAGTAAGTCTAACCATGCTCTAGTCTAGTATTGTCCAGTGTTGGTCAGAAGGTCTGTGGGACACACTGGTGGGACGTTATGGGCCATGGGTGGCTAACATCTGATGGAGCAGCTAGATGAAACATTGGTTTATTGTGCATCACTCCCCCAGCCTTACCCGTCTCCTCTCCCTGCGTGAGAGCAGTTGTCCGTGCAGCAGTCTCCACACCATCCTCCCTGCGATCTTGGTATCGATCCCCAGCAGCCTGAAGCCGTTGTAGTAGTGTTTCAGCTCATCCACTATCCTCTGGCCAATAGATTTCCTTACTACCTGGACCGTAGGGGCAGCAGCTGCAGCCGCTACAGTGGCGGAAGCAGGGGGAGCAGTAGCTGGAGGTTGGGGTGCAGGGCCAGAGGGGCCATTCTTGGGGGTCCCTGGGTGGTCATTCTGGGCTGGGGTGGCAGGAGCCTTGGTGTCCTGCAGCCAAACACAGGAGCTGTGCAGAGATCTGGCCAGCAGGGTGGTACTGTGGGTCTTGAAACCATGGAGCCAAACACAGTGAGGGTAGCCAGACCTGGAACGCCTTAGGGAGGGTAGGGATGACAGGTGGCTGGGGGGGTCCAGGTTGTGGTGGACGTAAGCTGTGGAGGGGAGGGGGCAGCAGCTGTGCCTCTTAGACAGCAGGTAAGATCCCCTAGAGACAGAACATAGATACATCGGTATGGTCAGTGACTGCCAAGTCATATTTGACATATCCTTACTTTCACTACAGCAGCCAGTCAGGCACACTGCTGTTCTAATGTAAACTAGACCAATGGTTTATGGGGTGCCACCTATGGCATTTACAGACCATACTAGCTTGTTTACATAACCAACTCTTCCAGATTACTTCCTGGAGAGTTAATCGACTGATTTAACTAGCAGGGATCTTGTAGACACGGGCAGTGGTGTCCCCACTGTGTGGTTGAGGTAAGTGCAGGCCTAAATGGTTTCTAATATAGAGCAGGTGACCTGGTCTCCTACCTTGATCTTGTTACTGCCAGAAGCACCTGTGCACTGAACACTGCCATTGTTACACTGGCAGATCGAGGTCTCCTGCAGGGTGAACAATAAGATCAGTGAAATACATTACTAGAAATGAAAATGAATACATACTGTAACTTCACAATGTTCTAGTACTGGTGGATGGCTAGTGTCAAGCTATTTTATTTCCAACCGTCGTTTTGTTATGGATTCAATATGATACAATTGCTAGCTAGCATGGATAGCTAGCTAACGATGCGGATTACGGCCAGTACTGTATCTCATTAGCTAGCTAAATAGCTAACATCCGCTGTCTTTCGAGAGTTTGAACCTTTGGTTTGACAACGGAACATCTGAAATATCTGACTTAGCAAACCTAGGAACATACAGAGATAATGCATGTTCCTAGAGCAAACACGCTAACAGCTGAAAACGGAAGTTGATTGACGAACTTACCTCGAACGTCAAATTGTCCTAGTGTCGAGCTATGCTATGGCTGGCGACTGGTCGTCGTAAGGCTGGTCTAAAAGAGCAAAATAGTAACTGTTACAATCCATTCACAGTTGTGCGCTGATTGAAGATGTGCGACGAAAATCACCACTACTGATGTGATAATAACCCAATTTCCGACTGATTTATTACTAGTATTCCTTCGAGAAACGTCATGTACCCTTTTGACCAACTTCGCCTATTTGGTACAGTGACCTACCGCTGCTGCCGGGTCGTCACTAGTTAAGTTAACACAGCCATAATTATGGCTAAATCCCACCCATTTCTACAATTTCTCTTCTTAAATTTTGATTTTAAACCTAACCTTAACCACACTGCTAACCTTACGCCTAACCTTAAATTAAGACCAATTTTGACTTTGTAGCTATGTTATCTAGTGGAAAACCTGCTACTTCACTGAAAAGGTTATTGCTATTCACACAGGGCGCTTCTTCTTCGATGAGGTTTAACGGCGGTTGGTTTCCAATAAATGCTGCATTACCGCCACCTACTAGACTGGAGTACAACTCCCTTTTACTTTGCTTCAAAAAATAAAAACATACCCTACCATCTAACACCACGTTCACAAAAAATTAAATAACACCACCCTACTCCGCTATTTAAATCTACTTAGTCCTACCTCAGGCCAACAACCTGAGAGGATGGCACACCAGCACTTAACACACCCTGTAAATCTTCTGATGTCAAGTCTCACACACCAAAATACCTCTCTGCAGCTGCCACCACAAACCTCAATTGTCTGCGATTTATGTTCCATCCCTGCAGTACAGTTGATAACCATTGCTTTAAATGCTAAAAATCCAATCTTACTCAAACATATATCACTTGTTGGCCTATCCCTCTGTACTGGTACAGAACTACTACTCACACCACTTGGAAACCTCAACCTGCCTCTCTCGCACAGGACATGTCTGATCCCCAGCCCCATGGGCACCCCTACAATTAACACATACCACTACTTTCCACAATGCTACACATTCCTTTGTCTCATGCCCTTCTGCACACTTCTCACACCTAGGAACCTTCCTCCTACACACTGCTGCCACATGCCCATAAGCTTGACACCTATAAGAACATAATGTATTCGGCACAAAAGCTCTTACAGGATAACGTATATATGACCCTTCTGTTTCACCACTCACGCCACCCTGGCTGCGTCGCACCAAACGACGAGCATCACAAACACCGGGAATCTTCCCCTTCAGTTGGTCAACTTTTACATTTACTGCTACCCCAAAAATCACTCCTTTCAATGGCGCCCTTTTCTTGAGCGCAAAACAATTCACATGTCTTGCCCCCATTCGTTTAACGCGGAACACCTACTCCCTCTGACGAGCAAAAACAAACAATTATCACAAGACCACTTCAGGTTACCCTCACCAATTCCACAGCACCCAACTGTTTTCACCCACCCTGAAACCATAAATGGATCAGCCAAAAGACAAGGGTCTACCTTTTCCAAAAACTTCACTCATATTGTCACAGACTCATCTTTATCCTGACCCTTGGTGCAATCCTCGGGCTCCAAGAACTTCACCACACCTACCACCTCCGATACTTCGCCCTCATTTCCTTCCATTTCTCCTCCTGTCTTCAGCTCACTCTGCTTATACTTTCTACCATTCTTCTTTAACAAACCATCTCCCTTTTTCCAGCCATTTTTTACCGACTCAATCTCACCCTCTTCCTCCCTCTCTCCCTCTCTCTCTCTTAGACCTACTCTGCCTCTCTTTCCCCTCCATTCCTCCTCCGTATTCCAAGTATGCATCTCCTTATGATAATACTGCACTTCTCCTGACATACATCTTGTTCTTGCCTTCTCAAGGGACGCCATTTAACCGGCTGTCACAATCTCACGAACCCCTCGGGATGTAGCGCTCAACAGTGCATCCCACAGAGCGTGTCTTGATGTTCTTCTTTATCAATAGCTACCGCGACGCTTTTCCATTTCAAATAAGTGCGCTCTTCCAACCACCATCACTCGTTGCGCTCTGCGCCCCGTACTCTCTCTCTCCTCCTCACAGGGCGCGTTCGAGCAGATCAGAGTATTATGGCGGGTCGCCAACAAAAATTATAGGTGCATGCTGCCACCTACTGTATTGGCTGTGTATCAGCCTGCTATTCTGTAGTATGAATACATTTTCCTGTGAAAAAATTGCCCTACTAACTAACCCTGCACACATTAAAACCTCACAGCTATGGCCCTATCTAACACCACATTGGGAGGACTGGACACTATCGTTCAAAACATTTTGTAACACTTCTGTAGTAAAATCTCGTACACCCAACTACTTCTGCAGCAACTACTATCTTTGATTTACGTTCCATTCCTGCAGTACAATTGACAAATATGGCCATAAACGGCAACAACAACAAAACGTACTGAAGCACGTTATTCACATGTTATTTCTATTACTCTCTATTGGCCTCTGCCTACTCACAGGGATCCTCTGAGGATCCCTCACCCTGGACCCATTTTCCTCTACTCCTCTTATTTTACTGCCTCAGCATACGACACCTTCTGCACTACTCTGATCCTGGCAACCTCAACCTGCACCATGGATACCCCTACAGTTTACACACACTACTTTTTCCACCGATACTACACATTCCTTTGTCTCATGTCCTCCTGCCCACTTCTCACATCTAGAAATCTCCCTCCTACACACTGCTGCCACATGACCATAAGCTTCACACCTAAAACACTGTAATGGATTCAGGACAAAAGCTCTCATGGGATAACTGACACATCCTAACTTGACTTTATCTGGTAAAGTAATTACATCAAAACTCAGTAGTACAAACAGTGTCTTCACTGTTTCACCACGCTCTCCACCGGATCCGCATTGCACCAAACGGCGGGCGTCACACTGGGAATCTTCAACTTCAGTTGATCATCCTCAACACTTAATGCCACTCCAGTTATCACTCCTTTCAACAGCACCCTGCTCCGGAGAGGAAAGCAAGTCACAGTTCTTGTCCCCAGTTGCGTGGTGCAGAGTGCACGCTCCCTCTGGATGGCAGAAACACAAAAAATCAACAATTCCACTTCGAGTCACTTTCACGACCCAACATACCACAACCTGTTCTCCACCAAACTTGACACCATATACGGATCTGCCAGAAGGCAAGGATCCATTCTCTCCAAAAATCTCACTCCCACTGGGCCAGAATCATCTTTGTCATTATCAGGATGAGGCTCATACTCTGCTGTCTTCACCGCAGCTGCAACCGCAGTTAATTCATCCTCACTCTCATCACGTTCAATTTTCTTCTGTAGCTCTTCCACAAGTTCTGTGAGACCCACCACTACATATTCACTCAAAACATGTTCCACATTTCTATTTTTTTTCCCCAGTCTGCCATCTTACCCCAACCTCATGGCCACACCTGCAGCCATCTCCCAAGTCGGTGACCAATGCCTTTAAAAGTTTGTTGCGTTATAGGGATAAAAATTGTCCTACTTGCGCCTACATGTCTACTGCAGTAACTTTACAGAAATCATGTGATCAAAGGTCATGAACTTGACTGCAGTCGACTGCAAGTTTCTGCAGCTGCTCTTCACCAACTTCCTCCTGCAGCCTTGCCTGCATTGTGGGAGGCTCTATTGTCAACCAATCATTAGGGTGTTTTCGTTTGACCCACGCAAAGGTGACCAAAGACATGACTGAAATGGAAACCAACTTCATGTATACAGTGGATAGCCTATACACAAAGGAATGTGATATTTGAAGCTCTCTCTCAGTAATTGATTGTACAATGAACACATTATTTCAGTTTGTGAGTGTGTGATATGGGGGGCTGGAGCCACGTTTATTTCAGCATTATAAAGAAAAACTTTTATAAAGAATGGTAACACTGCCATGTTGATCTGAGCCTTGCTGTTGAAAAACCACATTAGTGTCCGACTTTCGAATATGGTGTAATTGCATACTGCAATTTGGGGCGTTTCTTGATGTGGGTGTTCCCTGATATCAGGAAATGCCCACTGATACCTGCCATTGGTCAGTTCCGGTGTTATGAGACTGATGGTTTATTGATGATGGTTTATTTACATAGCAGGTTAGGATAATTAACATGGCAGGTTAGGTGAATTAGCTTCACAGGTTAGGTGAATTAGCGTGGAAGGTTAGGAAAAGGGTTAGGGTTAGGCTTAGCTACAATGCTGCAGTTGACAACAACTGTTGTCCCCAACGCAAAAGAAACGGCAACAGACCAATGGCGAGCATCAATAGGTGTAACTTGATATCAAGAAACACCTGATATCAGAAAACACCCCTAATTGCGATTTGCAATTACACCCTTCTCCAGTTTTCAGCTGTCGGAGATGCACCTCCTCCGACGTCACTCCTCGACTTTCGTCTACAGTCGGTTGCTTTCGCATTACCACTGAAACACGCCCACAGACTTGATTGTTGTTGACATACTAGATCAGGTGAGGATGGGCTTGATTGACAGGGCTGAGCACCAATAGATGAAGTTCATTTTTTATAGTGGGAACCAATACGCTTAAAGGAAAGAACCACTCACTTGATTAACCTAATGTAGCAGGCATAAAATTGCATTTTATTGACAAGCAACTTACCTTGAAAATGAAATTGCACCATTGATAAATAAGTAATAATAAACTTATTACAAACAATCTGTGTGCCCTCTCACAGTGGCAACTACACTCAGTATACCAAACATTAGAAACACCTTCCTAATAATGAGTTGCACCCTTTGGCCCTCAGAACAGCCTCAATTCGTCGGGGCATGGACTCTACATGGTGTCGAAAGCGTTCCACAGGGATGCTGGCCCATGTTGACTCCAATGCGTCCCACAGTTGTGTCAAGTTGGTTGGATGTCCTTTGGGTGGTGAACCATTCTTGATACACACGGGAAACTGTTGAGCATGAAAAACCCAGCAGTGTTGCAGTTGTTAATACAAACCGGTGCGCCTGGTACCTACTACCATACCCCGTTCAAAGGCACTTTCATTTTTTGTCTTGCCCATTCACCCTCGGAATTGCACACATACACAAACCATGTCTCAATTGTTTCAAGGCTTAAAAATCCTTCTTTAACCGGTGTCCTCCCCTTCATCTACCCTGATTGAAGTGGATTTAACAAGTGACATCAATAAGGAATCATAGCTTTCACCTGGTCAGTCTACATCATGGAAAGAGCAGGTGATCTTAATGTTTTATATATTCAGTGTATGTGATTCCCATAAAAAGTGCCAGAGTTCCAGAGTTTAAATACATTCCACTGCATGTGTCATAAAAGTGCCACATCAA